ACGAGTTCTATGGGTTTTACGGAGCGACATTATTATCCGCACGGTAAGTCGATCATTCTGATATTATGCATATGATATATATTGTACAAAATGGCGTCGTACACTTTATTTTTATTTCCACCGACTTTACTTCTGTTTTGTTTCAGGTCTGGTTCAGTAATAGCTGATGTCTTAATAAAGACAACCAACTCGACCCGAGACAGAGCCAAGAAGATCCTAGAAGAAAACATACAAACCGCAAAATTTGGATCAATTCCTGTCGATCGAGGGTCTTATTATTTCAAAGACAAAACTGAAGGTACTTCATTTTTATTGGATAACATGAAAAAGAAAGGTTATGGTCAAAAAGTTCCGGACTTTGCTCCTTTGCAAGAATAAGCAACAGCCGTGTTCTAGAACACTTTCACTTTGTCTTGGATCATGAATGGGCAACGTGTCCGTATTTTGACAACTTTTATGGGCACATTCACGACAGTGGCATACATTTCTTTAAGGCCGACTTAGACGGTACAACTTTTGCCTATAACTACCACATGCAACATGCTTAAGTCATCCTTACAACATGGCTACAACTGTCGTAGAGATTAAAAACAAATGTTTGATAACCCTACAACAGTTGTAGCCATGTTGTAAGGATGACTTAAGCATGTTGCATGCGATAGTTGTATGCAAAAGTTGCACCGTCAAAATCGGCCTTTGAAAATAGTATTATATTTAAAATGCGGCTTTAAATTGTTCACTATTTTTGTGATAAGCGCTAAATTTAAGATACGGCATTTGAATAAGTTCTTTCGTTGCCAGTCTTATCTCATCACCAGTCTCTCGCAGTTTTTTTCATTGCTTACGTCGCTGTATCGCTTATTAGAGTTAACTACAATGTTTTATCATTTGGTTCACTTTCAGTTTGTCCTGGTGAATTTCTCAATGTCACGTGGTCTGACATGCTGGTAAATGAGACAGCTATCGCAGAATGCCCAAGAGGAGCTAAAGGTACAAAAAGGACAACTTGCACTACTTGACTAGTCCTTTTTCACGCTTTTAATGTACACTCCATATGTTATTTTTCTTTTGTTGTAGGTATTGCCAAACGTAATTGCACTGAGAATGGTTGGTATTACCCAGACTACACGCAATGCATAAGTGATCCTTTTGCAGAAGCAAGAAAAAAGGTATAGATACCATGCCAGAGCCTCTAACATTACAAGGATAAAAACTGACTGAGAAATGCATGTATAGATCTTATGTCTAAGTCTGTCTTAAGTCTGTAGCTTAAAAAAAATTGCAGATGCAAACATCCAATTATTATCGGGACGATTGTTGCGCGAAAGAATTGCCCTAGTTTTAAACATGTGCGAAAGAATCGCCCTAGCTTCGAACGTGTGCGAAAGYTTAGTGCAACTCGCGGCGGTTTTTACTTAAATCTTGTGTGTTAAATACATTTTATGACTGTCGACACGTGCGCGAAAACAATTTCCGCAACAATCGTCTTTCGTGCCGCGCGACAAAGTTGTCGTTGTAAATAGGTCGTTAGTTCTTTTAAAACAAAGAATTTAATTCARCCAAGTCGAAATTGTAATCCAAGATGCTAGTACAAGAGGCATATTTCCTTAGAAATTAGCGTAATTGGAAAAGCGGGATCGCGACGACGTAGCCGGCCCTCACTGGKGACCTGGAGAGGCATCACAAAAGGGCTGGCTGCTCAGGCAAAGGTGTTTTAGGGTTTGACCTCAATCCTCAATGTTTATTTTTAGATGCGCTTAGCAACACTTGGGCCATCCTCCGCTCCAAGTTTAGACATCCTATCAGTGCTGAGTGACGTCAAGAATATTACAGTTGCATTTCGGGACTATTCTCACATCGCAGGTGATCTGAACTCGTGTGTGGAGATCATAGAAATGTTGACRAACTATACAAAACACCATCGTAACGATATTGGATTCAACGACGATGAAGCAAAGGTAACGGATAATATATTTACAATATCAGTAAACTCGCGCACTGATTGGCTGCTCTAGTATTWGATATGAGATCAAATCACTTAAGTAGAGCAAGCATCGTAACGATTTAGGATTTAATGACGATAAGGCAAAGATAAAAGATGATATATGTACAATAACAGTAAACTCGCGATCTGATTGGCTGTTTTAGAATAAGATATGATCTCTCATATACTGTAAGTATATCAAAGAAACCACTATAAACTAAAGTAAAGGCAGCTTCAAAATAAGGGTGGAATTCCTTATTGATTGCAATCATAAKTARAGATTAGTATKTCAAAGCRAAAATYCCGCACRTTRTTGTATGTAGTTTTTAGCTGATCAAGACGGCTCGATATTGAATTGYAACTTTGAGCAAATGTTCCGTTTCTTTTTACAGCTTGTTGTTGATATTACAAGTAACTTACTCAACAAGAACCACGAACAAGAATTCATAATATCTCAAAAGGTAAATTGAGCATTAACTCGTTTCATTATCAGCAACTCATTCTGTCAGTTGTATAGAGCATTTATTTCACTGATTCGTCCGTCAATCCATCCTTCTATCTATTCATTTTTTCATTTTTTCATTCGGTCTTTCATTTATTCCCATCTAGCTTATACAAAAAGCTTCGACCCTTATTCGAGTGGTAGAGAAGTATGGTCTACAAGCTGCCGCCGCTGTATCCAATGGCACCAACGAACTCAAGTTCTTTATCGCTGAGAATGTGGGTAGGTTGTGAGGTGTCATTCATCTCGTGTTTCGAAGTTTGCTTCTCCTATGCTCTCCATATCTCTATACAGCATCCTTATTTCGTGCTGTTTCAATTGATTAATGACTGAAAGTTGCCATTGATATTGAGTATTGATGACAATATTTTCCCTTCAAAGGCTGTCTATATAATAGTTTCCATTAACCGAGAAGACATTCAGTGTTTGTCTTTGTTTCTGTAGTTGTTTCTGCTCTTGTTGTCGTTGTAGTTTTTTCTGCTGATGTTGTTGTAGTTGCTGTTGTTGTTGTTGTAGATGAAGCTGTAGTTGTAGTTCTTTCTGTTGTTGTTGTTGTTGTTGTTCCTGTTGTTGTTGTTGCTGTTGTAGTTGTTTCTGCTGTTGGTGTTGTTGTTTTAGTTGTTGCTGTTGTTTTGCATGATTTGAAGCAGATGAGTGAATGTTATGGTCAAAATTTAATACCCATAACTGTTTTCGGCAGTGCATTCGCTTTTCAGCACCGACAACCCTTTTTGAAATCGCTGTATCAGTGTACACAGATGAGCTTTATTGAAATCGTTTTAAATCCTACTCGAATCTTTTGATTTTACTGATAGAAACACTTATTTGTTTTCTAGTGATGGGCGTAGGACTTGTCGAACCGCTGACCATCACAAACGATGTCACTTTTCCAAATTATGAACTCCCAGAAGTGGACTCCCTTCGTACGGCGTGGGGGTCGAGCAGTTTTATTGTCATCGACAAAGAAGTAATAGAAGATCTCACTAAAGGTGCATAAAAATGTAACAATATTTTTGGATTGTTTTGAATCCAAACCAAGAATAGCCCGTTTGCATTATGACGTAACTTTACTACAACTACCAGAGAGCCTTGCGCATTTTCATTKTTATTCAGATTTTTAATMCCCTTGGAGATTAWTAAAACAATTGGCACTAATTGCATTACAAAGGAAAGTTGGCAAAGCATTCTGTCAGTTGTAGTAAATGACGCAATAATGCATATCGCCTATTACGTAAGTGAAATTTATCGCCGCCATGTTGAGAAACTAATGAAGAATGCTTTGTCATTCAATATGACGGCTGTTAAATATGATGTAACAACGTGACTTTGAGAAATAAAGAACAAAGCTATCGCCGCCATGTTGGATGAATGAACAAGAGAAACTAGTCTGCCATGTTCTTTCTATTTGTTTATATATATTTGTGACTATTTATTTATTTCAAATCTATTTAATGTTTTGTTTCAGTGAAAAATTTCAAAGTTGCGGGATTCCTTTATCGAACSCTAACAAGAATATTGTCTGCTGAAAGGTTTGTGTCAAAAGTGAATCAAGTACAGCCAACTCTCGTCAATACGGACACCTTGCCCGCAATAGCGAGTGTCCCGCGATATAAAGGGAGTCATACTTTCACCCTAGAAAATGGTGTAGCTGAGTTCAAAAACTCAAAATGTGAAATAGTACTAAATATCGCAATGTAGTGTCAATACGATATTAGAAAAACAAAGGAATTCGCATAATTCAGTACAATTTAGCAATATTTTTTTAAATTATTGAAGTTTTTAAAGTGAGTTTTTGTACTAGAATGAAGTAATTAAACCCGTGAAATAGATATTACACTAATGCACCTTAGTGCACCTTAATGGCATTGTTTTGTGCCTATTTGACTATTGCACTTTAGTCAAATTTTGTTTCACGGATTTATGAATTCACTCTACTGCATACTGCCGAGTATTGAGTGCAAACTACTCGATTATAGCATGAACTTTGTTTCTTTGTTTGTTTTTATAGTGCTTATAGTATGGTTGGTCAAGGATTCGAGATTAACTCWGCGGTCGTCTCGCTTACTCTAGACCCACCTCTGCCACCAAAGCTGAAGACACCTGTYATTATTGCCTCAAATAACTTGGACGAAGTGCGGGTAAATATACYTATCTATGAACGCCTTAACTTTAAGAAAGAATGTCATAAAAAAAGACTTATCAAGAATTCTCCAGTTTCGACTTTTTTTTGCAAGCTTAGCTTCAATAAAGCGTAAATGTTTATTGTTTTTTTGTACACAGAGTTTTTGCATTAGAATAGGATCTCTGCTGAATAAAAGAATATATCACATGATTTCGAGGTTAAGGCTGCACAAATAAGATTTTGAAACTGGAGTGTTGTCAATTCTTATAAAATCTTCTTTTACAGCTTGACGGTGATTCTCCCATYTGTGCATTCTGGGATTTCAATCTGTAAGTAATATGGCTGTTATAGAAATGGAAATGCTGCTCCATGTGCGGGTCAAAACAACAGATTCTAATTGCCTTATCACATAATTACGTCACACCAAAACGTTCTATTGTTTTAACGCTAAGGATTATGGTCACCAGAGGGGACCAGAATGACTGCATATCAAATAAAATGTAGATGAGCTCATCATGGATAAATAATATACATCAAAACTCGATACACTAAACTGTTCTACTTTTGGAAAGAATGTTAATAGGTCCAAATTTCGATTCTTTCTGAGCATCTATCCACAATGTAGACATACTGTGACGTCATTATGCCATAGGGCAATTCATAAGGACGCAAAATAATTTGTTTTGTCTCTCGGGAGAAGCTGCTTTGATGTAATGTAATCTGCTTTTAGTGCGTTAGAGTTTTGCAAGTCTGAACTTGCCGTCGATTTTCATGTTTTGTTGTTGCTGCATGGCGATCATCTTTCTTTCCTATGCAAGCTGTTTTAATACAAGTGTTGTCATATTTAAAATAAAGATATTTGGTTTCAGTAACGAGCCTAATGGTGGATGGTCAGACAAAGGTTGTTGGTACACTCACTACAACACGCATAACACAACATGTYTGTGCGATCATTTGACRAACTTYGCAGTGCTGAARGAGAAACCAGTGTTTTTYCCCCAACCACAAAAGGTACGTTGACTGAATGTTCCTCTSGATTCATTCYTACACGCRCTCTGATTGGTTCAGGAGAGTTTCTTTGTTTCATCACCGTCACAGAAATAATCACTTCCTGGGTGATAAAATAGACCTMTGAAGCCTTTACGTCATGTAACATATACGCAATGCATTGTAGGATATGTTGGGGACAAAACATGGCGGATTTCTTTTGTTTTCTCTAGAAACTAATCCCACAATGCATTGAAAATYAAGTAGTGACGTAAAAGGTTTAGAAKTTTATTAATGGCTTTTTGTTCTTACGAAGTCATTTSTGTATTGGCTAAGTGCATCATGGCATTGAAAACAWTTTTAAGATGGCAGATATCTTAAATAACTACCAAGGACGAAGYTTCTTTGCAAAATTAACGTAGTTAGTCGTTGAGAATCAAATACATGCATACTAGAGTTTTCTAAAATATCTGTCTGGGAAATAAGTAATACTTGTTGTTCTTAAAACAGCAACAAGAAAGAGAATCGAAAAAATAATATGTTGTTYCAGTTTGTACTTTCGTCAATYCCATRGTGCATTTCGCCAAGGTTATAAGTGGAAAGGATCGCCAGCTTCGCGTGAAGAGCGTGCTTATAAAAAAAAATTTCCATTGAAATCTATTTTCATGGACCGATACACTAGAGGAATTTAGACCCCAAAGAATAACTGGCGGGGCGGGCGGGTGGGCGCTTGAGTACCACCATCGCCGCCACAATCGTTGTTATTGCATAACAAGATGGTWTTCTTTCATTTGTAGGCTATTCTTATTTCTCCGCCTTTCTTCCTGTGTATTCTGATTGGTTGTATCATCATGATCTGYTTCTGCGCCATAACGCTGATCCTGTTGTTGATATTTGCTTGGTAAGAACGTTGCAAAACTAACGTATCATAAAGTCAGTCCTAATCATTCACGACTTTCAAAAATGGCKCGATATGTCACGGTCGMCGACCAGGGCACTGGAGACGAAGCACTAAAACGAGGTCCGCAAAGGCCAGCCTCTGTATAGCGATACTCAATGTGACGTAAGCCTTTGTTATTTTAAATTATTTTACGTTAAAATGTGCCAACCAGAAGRCGATTGGCTGTTAGAACAAAGCGACTTGTGAAAAGCCATTCTGATCATGAGTTTGTTGATAAACATTGAGTATCGATAAAGTAAACTTCCATGGTGTTTTGCAAGAGTGTTTTGCCATAAATAACATACCAATACATCTTTCAAACTTTGAAACTGCCATACATACGATCTTCTAGTCATTTTTAGATGGAAGTCGTTTGAGGTCTCATTTCCATGATCCGTCACTAGTCCCCTGATATTGGCGGTCGTGAACTACCACCATTTTTTGAATGTCATGTATAGTCACAATTAAAATATCATGTTATTTCTTTTGCTACTGCTGCTGTTGTTTTTGCTGTTGCCACTCCAGTGGTTTGTTGTTGTTGCTGTTGCCACTCCAGTGGTWGTTGTTGTTGTTGTAGACGTGACTGTTCACTGACCTTGTGGTGTTTTCAATGCAGGCGAATGAGGCCAGACAGGACGTGGGGTATGCATATGTTTGTGTGTGCGACCCTCATCACCGCTTTTGCTCTCATWATCGTTGGTCTGTACAAATATGATGAAAGTGTTGTAAGTATATTTGGTGATATTTATCTTGATCTCAAATGCACAACGCCGTTTTTTTCTCCACACATACTCGAGATCTCATCAGCAAATACCAAGTAGATTTGCGGCGCGCATTTTCTGGCATAACTTTACGATCAAAAAAGCTCAAAATAGCAGGACATCAGGGGCGGATCCAAGATTTTCCTCAGCGAGGGGTGCAGCTTCTCAAGAAGCGATGCACCCCACAAAAATCATTACCATGAAAATACAAATTAAGAAAAGTATTGAAAGAAATAGATCTCAGGGGGGGAGGTGTGCGCACCCCCTGCACCCACCCCCTGGATCCGCCTCTGGGACATTATTTGTTTGTCGCAAACCCAAACTTTCTACACAAGTTACTAGTGCTGTATAGCGCGATTTGAAAATAGCTATTTGCCCTCCTATTGAGCCAGTCAGCACCGATCGGAACGGGTCTCGCGATAGGTTGAGAAAACAATGGACAAACAATAGAAAAGTCTTCCAACAATAAAACAAAACCTAACCTAACAATAGAGCTGCTGTACTTAAGCAGCAATCAAAAAACAGGTTTCGATCGGTGCTATATTACTGCTCCTATTTGCCCAAAARAATGCTAAGTTAAAGTCTTTCTTTAGTTTTTCTGCCGACTTCTATCGATGCTGGTTCATTACTTCTTTTTGTGTGCCTTTACTTGGATCATGGCCGAAGGTGTATACATGTATGTATGGACAACCACAGAGGGACCCAAGAAAAGATATTGGATTGGTTATTTCTTCATTGGCTTTGGTAAGATCATTTTTTCATATATAATATATCACTTTTATGGTGTCATGTGATAAATAAATGACGTCACAATTGTGGGTTATGACGTCAGACGTCATGTGATATATTTCAAATGTCAGGGTGATGACGTCACAATCGTGTACTCTTACAATATATCACAAGGTCTTATTTTTCTGATGTTTTAACGTTTTTTTCAGTTCCAGCTGGAATTCCACTGGCTGTTACATGGCTCATTCAAGGAATGCAGAGATTTGAAAGTGTGGTGTCGTAAGTACTGCAGAGAAAACTCCATTTTAGAATGTTCCCAGCGACATTGAAAGATAGTCGTTCTTTCTCGAAACTAGAAGACCTTTCAGCCTGTAATAATAGATACTTTTTTCTTCATTCAGTCATAATCGTATTATGCTAGCGCTCAATGCATGCCACAGCTGCTATGCAAGATGGCGCTGGAAGCAGTGAAAAAGAGCAGCATTTTAAATCTAACTTAGCTGTGCGTTCCATTTGTTTCCGTTTGATTGATTGATTGATTGATTGATTTATTGATTGATTGATCTATTGATTGATTGATTTATTGATTGATTGATTTAATCTTTACTTTAGTTGCTGGATGAGTCTTTCAAATGTTCTTCTTTGGGTATTCTTTATACCAGCTGCAATCTTTTTATTGGTAAGTACAAAACTATTTCCTAGAGCTAAATTCACTTCATCTTCATGAATAATAAAGCGTGCAGGTAAGCAACATGAGCGGCCGTGTCAGCTGACAYATAAAACCACGGACGCGAATATTGAAAACGATTGGAATTACAGTGAAATAAATGACGGAAAACGGAAAAGGAGTAGATAACCAGAGCATGCGCACTTGTATAAAGCACATTTTTTATACCCACATGGAAGAAGCAAGATGAAAATGAGCATGCGCATTTTGATTGAGTAGATATCCCACATGGACTTTCCTCCATTTATCGTACTGAAAAAACTGTGAAATAATACTATAATAATACCGTGATATATAACTTCTTCACAGATAACTATTCTAATCTTTCGTCAAGTATGGAGAACTGCAACTGGCAACCTACGTGTACCTCTTAAAGCTACATACTGGAGAACTCGTTTTAGGTACTCTCTTGGGCCAGTTGTACAAAGTATGGATAACATAATCCACTCCATAGACTTTGTATGGATTTTATCCGGTGGATAGCGCTATTCGCCCTTCGTACAACCGACCAATGTTCGTTCTCTTTCCTTTGAATAAATTTTACTACTAATATGGTCGGCATCTTAAATTATGAAGATATTATGGAATGTCCGTGGGGCAAAAGCACACATTAACAAATAGAATGACTCCGAAAAATTACTTTCTCTGATTTTTCATAAACCCATAAGATTTACCGTACTGCGCTTTATTACCGCTTGATTTTGCATGTTTTTTATCCTTTTTTGTGTATCAAGCATTATTACACTTAAACTATTGCACTTAATTGTTTCACGGGTTTATGGAGTGACCCAGTTTACTACTGAATTTGTACTGAAAACAATCGACATTCAAGATGGCGGCCATATTGGCGACCACGAAGTATACTGACCTTGGCACAGGTGATCGTGGTTCTCAAAGCGACCTTCTGTACTAATATTTTCACAGATTTACTGTGTTGGCCTCAATGCATTTCTGCTTGTATTTCAGGGTCCATGTTCGGTATTGTATCGCAATCCAAATTCTTCTGATTATCACGTGGCTTTGTGGAAATCTTGTCCTGACATACTATATGTACCCTCTTCTTGAACTGATCTTCTGTATTTTGTTTATCATATTCTGTGTTATAACAGTAAGTTGGTATATTTGYTTTAATGCCTTCCCCTAATGGCGTCATGCGAAGTTCGGCGAAATGAACTATGGGATTGCCAAAAGTACAAATAATTATAAACATATCATGTAATTGTTTTTCAAGATATTTGCCAATAACAAGCAATGGATATTTAATGTTCTTCTTGGAATCCTCGCAACGGAAAACATTAACTTTGCCAAGAAACGCCGTCTTTCGTTGCTTTTATWGGACGAAGACGTCCACCATCTTGATTCTTTTAGCAATACCATGATGCATTTCGCCGATACTAATATGACGTCATGACCGAGAAAGACCATTACATTATCAATACTGTACTCAATTCGCGTCGCACTTTTTCTGTTTAATTTTTATTATTTGTTTATTTTTTCAATCTGCGCATGACCGTGGACACTTGTTTCACGTTATGTCATTACTGGGAGAAATGTATTCAAAATGGCCGGCGGTCAGTGAGTAATTTTCTTTGTTTTGTTGTTTTTTTCAGGGCTTTGTAATTATTGTGTTTTACTGCATCGCTGATCGACAGGTATTAAGAACATTTGTCAGTTTATTTACAGTATTGACCCGCCTATATAAGAAATTCAAAAACAAAAAAGTTCTGACCGATTGTGTTTTTGGTTCTGTGTCGTGAATCAATGTTTTTTGTTGCGGTTTTCTAGTTTGACGATGCTTTCCGAGAATGTTGCTGCTTCTGCTGYAATCAAGGGAAGTACGAGGTACAGAAACGTGAAGACCTTTGGGCAGAGCAACACCCTGAGCCGGTGAGTTACATTAAGAACCAGGACAACGAGCCTCCTCTGAAGACGTTCCTGGAAAATACTTTTTAATTCGTCACATGTCTTCGGAGGAGGRTGCTGAATCGTCAAGTCCTCTCTCTTCTTCAAGGAAAAAGTAATATTAATTGTACAGCAAGTGCCCTTCAAAYTGGSGAGAATTTCTTTATAGTGGCTGYTTTAGGGCAAAGAGCAGTGACTTGCCTCGCAGCTTGTTTTTGACGGGGGAGGGGGCTAACAACCRCGGACGTTGYAAAACAKAGTAAAGGAGAGCTGTAGTTGTTGCAAATATGCCCTGSAAATCTTATGAAAAATACCGACAAAAAGATATTGAAGCTATATTGATGTACATCACGAGAAGCAAATGAGAAATATTCCTCGATTCTTTGGTGTACACGAATATTCTAGCCTTCATACAGTAGACTATTTAACAATTAGACCTCTAGGTCGAGTGGACTACGAGCTAATAGCCCATGAGGCCGAGTCCGCGAGGCCGAATGGGCTATTAGCTCGTAGTCCACGAGGCCGAGATGTCTAATTGTTTTAGTATAAACATACTAATCGGTCAAATAATGAAAACAAATTGAAATATTCTTAAAATAATTTATAATTTATTTATTTTGATTTTCCCGCGAGTGGTCTATCACAAATTAGACCATTAGTAGAGTAGCCAATCACAGCGCAGTATGAGTGATAGACCATTAGTATGTTTATACTAATRAAGGATAATACCTTCCCTATGACCGATACTAATAACGTCTGCCAAGGAGGCTAGAATATTATCCCTGTGACGTCATTTGCAAAAGTAAGAAAAGAACCAATCACATTTCCTTTTTATCCCAGGTTCAACATGCAGAAGTCATACGACCAGAGCAACAATCCATACTGGAAGAAGAACAACACGATCCTTTAATAGTCTACGTTACCCGTAAGAAACAAGCATCGGAACCTTCCATGAGCTCTGAAGACGATCCATTATATGAGAGAGTTAAAAAACCAGACGAGAGGCCTGAACCGAAGGACGAAGAAGAAGGACCAAGAGAGGAACCTGTGTATGCCAAGGTATCTGACATTTATGTTTCGATTTCTGATGACTGCTTTCTCATCTGTGATTTCATCATCATTTGCATTGCTACGCGACGAGGACAGACAAAACAACTAAATTAACAATAGACAACTGTCAATCAACTAAAAATCTTTGTCGACAAACGCTGGTTTGATTGAATATTTAGATTGACGGCAGTCAACCGCTAATGTCTTGAATTTTGTGTGGGCTAGTATTAGTTTGGTAGCAATGTAAACGACTTTGAACCGATACCTGTTGCGCAAACAGCCTCCCGTTTCCTGAATGCGCTTCATGTTTTACTTAATTGTTCACACAATCTTAAGGAGCCAGGTAGTCTCATGATAGTTTGAGAAAACAATGGACAAACAATAGAAAAGTCTTCCAGCAATAAAACAAAACCTAACCTAACAATAGAGCTGCTGTACTGATAAGCAGCAATCAAAAAACAGGTTTCGATTGGTGCTGATCTTATGTTCATAAAGATGAGCTGAATTATGACAACGACCCGTTCCCCGTAGCACTTCCGCGGCTCGCTGCGTTTCCGTTTATGTCTTACATCGACCCATTCTCTTGATCTTAAGGTTCATAAAGACGAGCCTTATGAAGACGATGATCCGTTCCCCGTAACACATCCGCGGCTCGCCGCGTTTCCGTTTATACCTTACGTTGACCCATTTTTTTATTTAAAGGTTCATAAAGACGAGCCGTATGAAGACGATGACCCGTTCCCCGTTGCTCAGCCCGGCTCACCGCGTTTCCAACGCGGCTTAACCCGCTTGGAAGTAATACGCATGGCAAAGAAATCCGACGCTGCCAAGAGAGAACTCAAGAAATACGAGAGCCCGAAGGGCAGCCAGGATGATTTGGCGGAACATCCTACTTACTTGTTGAATCAAAAGGAACTCGACGAAGAACTGCAGCATTTCAGGACATTTTTTGCAGAGAGTAAGTAAAAGACATTGTTTTCCTTGTTTTTATGATATTTTGTGAGAAAAAAGACGACATGAAATGAATGATGAACGAAATGAAATGAATAATGAACGAAATGAAATGGATGAATGAATGAAAAATGAAAAAAGAAAGATGACATGGTACCAAACCATGTCATGGCCATAACAACCAGAAATCTACCAAAATCCTTTGCAGTCTTTTAAGCATGCGCAATGAACCTGCTGCTACAAGGATTTTAGACAGTCTTTTTCAAATTTCCCTGCGCCATCTTGAAGAAAGCCGTGCCTTTGCATCAAACCTTCTTCCACACCTACAGGCAATTATTCACAGGTATCTAACATTGCATTCTCAACGGCTGTCTCGCTTCGATGTAAAGGCACGGCTACCTTTCAAGATGGCACAGGGAATCGTGAAGGAGGCTTTTAGGTGTGTAACCGAGTTTATCTTAAAGGTCAACAAAGCTCACCAAAACCATCAACTTCAACGACACCCCCCGGGACGCCAACCCCCTCGTCTGGGCCGYGCACCTACAGCGCTACTTCAAGCTCATCGAGTACCACTAAGACAACAAGAATCGTGAAAAAGACCACGGCAAGCACTCTTAAGGAGTCAAGCTCTACTCGARCTCAAACYCAGACYCATGAAAGTTTTGAGAGTTCRAGTACATTTACTCAYGAGTCGTCGACTCGAGTTATTCGAGATACCTCGACTGATAGAGACACGCCTCCGGCTATACCGCCTCGTGCGCCTGATTTATTAGACGATGATGATTATGATCCAAACGAATCTGATGCCAAGATGAGGCTTCTTGATGTAGAGCGAGACGATGAGAGTCTCACGGATGTTTCAGCTGCCGATGATTTTGACAAAGACAGCGATGACGAAGGG